GAATATCATATTTATAGCAAGTTACAGAATATTTGATTGTATAGGTAATAGCTCAAATTTATTTAGAGTAAAAATTAGCCTTGTCTTGTATCTGAACTTTTAAATACACTTATGGCAAATATGAGAAGTACATTATGTTGTGTTTTCCAAATAGAAAAACAGTTATTCAAAAATCCTTTGTGCTAGCCAGTGTTGCTCAATGGTTGAGTGTTGACCTATGAACCAGAGGTCACAGTTCGATTCCTGGTCAGGGCACATACCCAGGTTGGGCCGTGGACTCAATACCCAGTAAGGGACTGGCAGGAGGCAGCTGATCAATGATTCTCCCTCATCATTGATGTTTCTCTCTCTCCCTCTCTGAAATCAATAAAAAATAGATATTTTAAAAATTCTTTGTGATAAAATATTAACATGACCTTTTGGCTTTGTCTGGTACAAGAACTTATATGTCAGCTTAACCTTTTGGCTTTGCCTGATACCAGAAATTAACTTTGGACTTGAAAATAATTTCTTGATCAGCATAAGGTCCAAAGATTGCAGAAAGTGGAGGGAAATACTTGGAATTGCTGCTGTTACTGGTTAGTCAATAAAGATGATTGTGCAGGTTAATGAAACAAGTAGATTATCAAATATAAGACAGCATCTTTTGAATATTGCTCCATTATTTTATTATTACTTTTTTAAAAAAATCTCATACTGTTTGTTGAGCCTCATCACTTAATTTTTCAGCTTTCTCTCCTTGTTTCAAAAGCTTTATAGTCACCACTTTTGTTGAGAGAGCAGCCGTGAATCCTGTCTTCAGTTGTTTACAGCTCTGAGTTGCCTAGGATATTGCTACTTCTTTTATGGTGAAAAATAGCACCTCCTCTGTTTGCAACCACAGAAGCTGGGGAAGGTGGTATGGTTGTGATGTGACATAGGGGCTGGGCAGAAGCAGGGCTGGCTGGAATAAGTAAATCATTATGGAGATTTAGAAATGTTTTTCCTCTGGAAATTGAAAAACAGAGCTCACATGGGGATATTTTATTCATGCAGAAATGAAATTGGAACTTGGTATAAAAACCCATCAGCTAAACTGAAGGTGATGTAAAACCTTGAGCATTTCAGTCCCAGGTAAATTATATTAGCAGATGTTCCCCTCAGAAGAGCCCTGGAGAAGTGCTTCCTAACCAATCCGTGAACTGGGTGCATTAAACCCTCGTAGTGCCCTGGCTGGTGTGGCTCAGTTGGGTGAGCAGAGTTCCATACACCAAGAAGTTGCCAGTTCAACACCCAGTCAGGGCACATGCCCAAGTTATAGGCTCAATTCCCAGTAGGGGGCATGCAGGAGGCAGCTGATTGATGTTTCTCTCATTGATATTTCTACCTCCCTCCCTGTCTCTTCCTCTCTCTCTAAAAAAATAAACATTTGAAAATCAACAAACAAAAAACTCTGAAGTGCTGGTTACAATTCATATTCCCCGGCTCCTGCAAGGACCAGTCAGGCTTGAACGGAGGAGGAGCCCAGAATCTGCATTTTTATTGAGTATCCCTCCCTCCATTGGATTGTACTTATGTAGGTATCTTACCCATCCAGCTGGAATAACAAAACACCACAGACTGGTTATTCATCAGAACTCAACCTTGATGGCACCTGACTTCCAACTTCCAACCTGCAGACTGGGAGAAAAAACAGCAGAAAATTATTTCTCACATTCTGGAAACTGGAAGTTGAAGGTCAGGTGCCATCAAGGTTGAATTCTGAGGAGCACTTCCTTCCACATTGCAGACTTTTCCTTGTATGGTCACATGATGGAAGGGGCAAGGGAGCTCTCTGGGTTCTCTTTCATAAGGGCACTAATCCCATTCGTGAGGGTTCCACCCTTATGACCTAATCACCACCCAAAGGCCCTTAGTACCATCACTTTGGGTATTAGGTTTTCAATTCATTAGGTTGAATTTGGGGTTGTGGGGAACACAAACATTTCGACCGTAGCAGCAGTGAATCACTTGGAATTTTCCCCAATGTTGGCCAGATTCTCTTGTAAATCAGTATCTCTAGAATAACAAATTCCAAGATTGTAGCACTCACAGTACAGAAGCTCTCACTATGTGGAGTGGCTGCTGCCCAGCATCAGCTGAAGTTAGAGGGAGCTGAGCAAAATCCCTCTCAACCTTCCAGCTTAAAGATTTCATAAGGAATTAATTCATCTATCTTCACTCCCAGGAAACCCTGATATGGAACGGGAGCCTGCCTCCCCAGGTGGCTGGCACTGGGTCCTAAGTGTTATCAGAAAGGGCAGGTGGCAGGGTGCCTGCTTCTGGGTGAGGTACCTTTGTGTGCTCAGATTTATCCAATCAATGCTGGGCCTCCCCTGAGCCAAGAAGGCCCACTCATCCTATTGCTTTCCAAAACAGTAATCATTCTGGTCATCTTAGTCAACACATTTGAAAATCACAAATATGTATTGGATTTCTACTGTGTGCTGTTTCAGGCTCCATCGATTCCAGGGAACAAGAGAAATAGGATCCTGGCTTGTGGGCCACCTCAGTGTGTCTAGACCTCTTCTAAGCCCACTGGTCTCACAGATCATTTAGGCCACGTGACCAATGTCCAGAATTGTGTTCTTATTTTTATTCAGATTTACATTTTGTTCTGCTTATACTCTGTAACACTGAGCTGGAAAACAGTGATTTCTTGCAGATGGTTTAGAACACCTCCCCCACCACTGAAGATGGCTCTGCCCATCCCAGAAGCCTTCTCAGCTGTTGGCCTTGGCTGTCAGGGAGGCGGGCTTTACTGAAGATTGTAGGTAAACTTGAGAACAATTGGCTTTTTGTTTAGATGTCCTTGGGCTATCACTTGGAAAGGATTTATTTTGCTTTGGCCTCTGTTCCCTCCTGGCTTCTTAAAAAAAAAAAAGCAGCTTTTTTTTTTTTTTTTTCT